CATAATGTATATGCAGCAATGGCTACCTACTCTGCATTTTTTGTCATTAGTTTGGCATGGTGTCTTCCAAATCTTATCCCAGATGTGAAAAAAAGTTTTGAGCATGTACTAAAAGCATGTATATGCATGTGATCTGTGTGTTTTAATGGGTTAAGGGGGAAATGAACACTAGCCTTCATGACTCTAATAAAAACTACTATTATATCAAAGTTCACGGTTTTTATAAAAATGTAAGCAGTCGTGTATTACTTTACGGTCTTTAAATCTGACAGCTGGCAACATAAATTTTCTGGATGACTATCAAGTAATGCTGATGCAGCTATTACCATGGAAGACATGTTGAATCATCTGTTATGGTTTCAACTAGTTGTGCACGGTTCTTTTCCTTAAAGAACTACCAGTGCCTTACGACTTATAATAGTGAGTACCCGAAATCTAGATTTCCAGTAATAAAAAGTTCTTAGTTAAATTCTTAAAATTTCAAGGAGAAGCAGTCATTTGGCCTAGCGGTTAAAAAGCTGGTCATGTCAAATTACTTACGTTTGAACCCTGGATACACCCTTGATTCCAGCTTCTTCCTATTGCATATGCTAGGGGACCATGGTGATGCCTTAAGTAGTTAGGTCCCTACAACTGGCTTCATCCCATTGGTAGGCATTAGAGGAGTGAACAAGCCTATGAGAACTTTCTTTCTGTCAGTCTCTCTGCCTCTTATATAAACCTATAAATAAAAATCTTAAAAAAAAAAAACCTGTAGGAGGCAATTTGAAATTAACCATTTCAATTGCACAAACAGCTAGTGAACTCATACTGAAAGGCATATTTCTTTTAAAAAATGAATAGTGTGCTGCAAAGAAACAAAATCTGCATTGGAAGCATAAGAATGTGTATGTAATGTGACTCTACTGAAAGTCTCCACTGTACTCTACTGATGTGGTCACTTCATGTCCATCAATACTTCTTGACTTTCTTATCAAAGCTTAGAAACTTTTTAAGTCATAGAACAGTTAGAAGTTTCATTTTTGACTGGCTGATATTGTCAAACAATGAGTATTAAAGAGGACTTTGGCTTTTTATTAGCTCAATTATATAAATTATTTTGTTTTATGAAAGTTATGGAGAAAAAAGTTGACTATGCACAGTTTATGTTTACATTGATCTTTCAATATAAAAGCACACACAGACTTCCTATTTGAAAGGAAAGTTGCAAAAGCACTTTACTTATCTTACAGGAATTTGGTTTTTTTTTTTTTTCAGCTTTTCAATGAGAATCACTTTAAATATTACCACATTTGAAACTCACATCCAAATAAAATACAGTTTTTCCTTTTCCTTTTCTTTAATAGGAAAGAGACTAAACAACTTACTTGTATTTGAATTTAGAAGTTTGCAATGAATCTCTCCTTTTTGATTGCGGTTACATAATTTTTTTGCCTAAAAATTGGACACTCTTTATGTTTATAGAAAAAATATCTTGGTTTTTAAAATTTTCTTATATGTTCTTTACATTATGTGTATGTATTTTGATAACAAAAACAGTTCTGCGTCAGGCTGGTGTTGTGAAACAGGGTTTAAGCTGTGACTTGGATATTTAATACTTGCATATTAAAGTGTGCTGTACTGAGGACCTGCTGCTTTGCTTCTGACCCAACTTCCTGCTAACGTGCCTGTGAAGGTAGCAGAAGACGACCCATGTATTTGAGTTCCTACCACTCATGTGTGATACCAGGATGGAATTCCTGGCTCCTGGTTTCAGTCTGGACTAGATCTGGCTTTTGCAATCTTTTGGGATAGTGAACTAGAGGATAGATATATGCTAGATAGATAGATGCTCACATATACTCTCTCTGTCCCTTCCTCTCTCATTGTTGTTCTACCTTTCAAATAAATAAATCATTTAATAAAAAGTTCTGTAGCTCATTAACTGTTGACTCTTTCCTTCCACTATGAACTTTGCTGACTTCAGGTAAAGAAATTACAACCTGCATCTAAATCCATTTCCAGGAACCATTTTGGCATAGCAGGTTAAACCACTGCCTGCAATGCCAGCGTTCCATAAGGGCACAGCATTGTGCTCCATTTCAATCCAGTTCTCTGCTAATATGCCTGGGAAAGAAGCAGAGGCTTGCCCAAGTCCTTGGGCCCCTGAACACACATGGGAGACTCAGATGAAGCTCCTAGTACCTGGCATTAGTAAGGCCTAGCCCTGGTTGCTTTCGTCATTTGTGGAATGAACTGGAAGATAGATCTCTCTCTCTGTGTCTTTTCCCTCTCTCTCTCTCTGTAACTTTGCCTTTCAAATAAATGAAATAAACCTTAAAAATTTAAAATTAAAATAATCCATTTCTAACACTCAGCATTTCTGTTAAACATACTGTACTTCGTAATTTATTAAGATGACATGTTTATCACATTTCTACATTTATAAACTCAATAAAAAGCTAGTCAATGTGTTAGAAATAAATTCTTTGTTAAGTAACAATTCATTGTGCACGTTTCACAGCACACAGGCCTAGCTGCAAGTTACGCTGCAATTGCTGATCCTGAAAGCAGATTTTTGTCTCTTTTCCCTCCTTATAGGTCTCTTGTTGCAGCTACCAGCTTTCTTCTTGTTCCATTTCTGCTTTCTATTATTCTATCTTGTCATTAATTTGCACATGATTCTATTTTAAGAGCCACAAAATAGTTAAGTCAGCACCAAAATCACATAATGTCTCAATTCCTGTTAATCGTGTGTATTATCCTGTTTCTAACCTCCTAAGTTGGGTTGATGTTGTGGTACAGCAGGTTAAGATACCACCTGGGAAGCCAACATCCCATATGAGTGCCAGTTGAAGCCCAGCTACTCCACTTCCAATCCAGTTCCCTACTAATGCACCTGGGAAAGCAACAAATAAGGCTCTTTTGTCATCTTTACCCTTCTGGTAGGCTTTCCCCATGATTTGTTTTCAAATGCCAAGTCTCCTAAAAACTTAAACTTTTTAAGAACATCTATTAAAGTATCTCCAACATTCCCACCTCTCTCTGATCTGATTAATATCTTATGAGGAAATAAGAACTCTTTATCATCTTTCTTCCCATTTAAAAAAAATCAGCTTACATCTTTGCCCAAAATGAATTTTCAAACTTTCAATTAAAAAAATTCTATTTAGTAAATAACTACTGTTTGTCAATTCTGTTGTCATGAAAGCATGTCATGAAAGCAACAAATAAGGCCCAAGTACTTGGTTCCCTATACACATAAGGGGGACCCAGATGGAGTTCCAGGCACCTGGCTTCTACTTGGTCCAGACCTGGCCACTGCAGCCATTTGTGGAGTAACCATTAGATAGAAGATCTCTCTCTCTCTCACTCTGCCTTTCAAATAAATAAATACATGTTTTAAAAAAAAACTCCTGAGTTTATGGACCTTGGGTCAATTTTTCTTCCATAACTGACTTCAAACCAGGATCTGCTGGAATTAAAATGTGATAACCCATATCATGATCAATGAAATTTAGAGGACAAAACAAAACAAACAAGGCAAGGATAAAAGGACCAGCACAAAAAGAAATAATATGATATACAGCAGAAAATAGTGGAGGACTGAAAACTTATTTGTGTTTGTATTTGTCTTCTATATAAAGTTTCTAAAGTACTTTTAGAAGATTTATAGGTTTATTTATTTGTTTGAAAGGCAGAGTTAGAGACAGAGGGAAGGAAATGGGAGAGAGAGAAAGAGAGAAATGAGAGAGAAATCCCAAACTTCCACAATAGCTGGAGCTGAGCCATTCCAAAACCAGGAGCCAGGAGGTTCTTCTGGGTCTTCTTGGGCCATCTTCTACTGCTTTCCCAAGTGCATTGGCAGGGAGCTGGATCAGAAGTGAAGCAGCCAGGACTCAAACCAGCACACAAATGGGATGCTGGCACTGTAGATGGTGGCTTAACCCACTATGCCACAGAGTCAGCCCCCAAGTATTTTTTTTGACAGGCAGAGTGGACAGTGAGAGAGAGAGACAGAGAGAAAGGTCTTCCTTTTGCTGTTGGTTCACCCTCCAATGGCCGCTGCGGCCGGTGCGCTGCGGTTGGCTCACCGCGCTGATCAGAAGCCAGGATCCAGGTGCTTTTCCTGGTCTGCCATGTTGGTGCAGGGCCCAGGGACTTGGGCCATCCTTCTCAGCCCTCCTGGGCCACAGCAGAGAGATGGACTGGAAGAGGAACAACCAGGACAGAATCCGGCGCCCCGACCGGGACTAGAACCGAGTGTGCCAGAGACGTAGGCAGAGGATTAGCCTATTGAGCCGCTGCGCCAGCCTTCCTAAAGTATTTTTAAACAGTGATCTGCAAGGTGCTGTGTGGGTGCTTCATGGTCACTCAGATAAGGTAGAATAATCAGGCATGAGGAGGGGAGTTGAGGCCCATTGTGGCAGGTGTTGAGCTCAAGGTATTTGAGCTGCTTAGAGGTTAAAGTTTATACTGAATATTTTCTATTGCAATTCTATATAAGCTGTTGTTTGAAGAAAACATCATGCTTAAAAAAAGATTTGAAAACCACACTTAATGATTTCTTCCCCAAAGCTCTTAAGAATTTATATTAATTTATCAACCTACAGTAGGTTAAAATAAAAAAAGAGATGTATTTGAATAATTGAGTGTTAGTAAAATGGTCAATGATGGCCAATCTGTATGCTAGTCCCTCTGATTCAACTGCATTGCAGATTCCACAAGTTGTAGACACACTAATAAGCAACAATGACATTAACAAAATGTAACTAAATAGTTACTGTCCTGATTGAATAATGTACAAATAAAATACCCTAGGCAGAATTTTATAAGTAGTAAAGTTTTCTAGATAGTCATAACTAAGTTCTAACAATGGATACTAATAAAATAGATTTGCAGGTATAAGAAATAGGTGAAACTTGTTCACCTCAAATAAACAGGAAAAAAAAAGAATACTACTCATGGATTTGTACATTTTTTGCACCCCAGAAAATGAATTTGTGGGATTTTACAAGTACCCTCGTACTGGAATATTCATGTGCCTTGCAGACTTAATGACCTCCTCAAACTTCCCCATACTTTCTTCAATGGAGCAGTTAATATTCTTCTTGCTAAAGGACTCGGATGCAGCACCAAACACTGATATCTCTGTGGCTCCCGCAGCAACCTGAAAAATATAATTTAAAGGCAAAAGTTCGTAATTTTGAAAATGTAAATGTGATAACAGTAGAAACATTAGCTGCTCTAAAGACACGCTTTTATTCTTTAACATTCACCGTAATGTTTAAATACTACAATCCCCTCCACATGTAGTATTTTAAAATGTAAATTATTTTATAAAGAATAACTCCATAAAGTTCAAGATGCATAAGTCTGTGAGGCATGGAAAACATGGTGACTATATTCAAAAGGTACATGTTATCCTTCAGAAAAAGTTTAACTGTAATTATGGAAAGTTTTAGCACTCCAATAAAACCTTTATTGTCAATGGAAAACATAATTTTCAAACCAATTTTTGAAATAAAGTATAACAAATGCTTTCTGTTTTTCCTTCTACAATCCAGCAATAAAATTCATCATTTAGATTTTCCAAAATGTTTCCCACATCTAACCTAGCCTCAATCTTTCATACAGTGGCTGTAACAACCATACTCTAACTAACACATTAATCTTATTGCCAGGCTCAAAATCCAGAATATCAGTCTAAGAAATTTTCTCATTAGCCTCTTTTGTCATCTTTACCCTTCTTGTAGGCTTTCCCCATGATTTGTTTTCAAATGCCAAGTCTCCTAAAAACTTAGACTTTTTAAGAACATCTATTAAAGTATCTCCAACATTCCCACCTCTCTCTGATCTGATTAATATCTTATGAGGAAATAAGAACTCTTTATCATCTTTCTTCCCATTTAAAAAAATCAGCTTACATCTTTGCCCAAAATGAATTTTCAAACTTTCAATTAAAAAAATTCTATTTAGTAAATAACTATTGTTTGTCAATTCTGTTGTCATGGCTTTATATTCTTTTTTGTAATGTCCAAATAGCCCTAAAAACTAAGCATTATGCCCATTTCATAAATGAACAAAATTGGCACAAAGAGCTAAACAGCTAGTCAACACCACACAATTAGGAAAGTTCTAGAGCCATGTTTTGAACACAGAATGACTGATTCTCAGCCCAAGGTCTGTTATGCACCATTCCTTGCCCTTCTAAGCCATCCTGAACCTTTCCTGTCAGTATCTTTTGTAAGGCAGAGGCAGTCTTCACATTTTTAGAACTGGGTAACATTAATACAATTTCTTAAAATGCTCTTTCTTTTTTAACTAAGCAATAAAAATTATATCAAATCAAACAAGATAAATGTTCTAACATTATACACTCATAAGTGTATATAGCACCTCACAAACTCAACCTCACACAGTAAAGCCTCAAATACAAAAGTGAAAAAAACCCATTGACAAGATAAATAGCTGCAGGCTGGTGCCACAGCTCACTAGGCTATTCCTCCGCCTGTGGCACCGGTACCCAGGGTTCTAGTCCCGGTTGGGGTACCAGATTCTGTTCCGGTTGTTCCTCTTCCAGTCCAGCTCTCTGCTGTGGCCTGGGAAGGCAGTGGAGGATGGCCCAAGTCCTTGGGCCCTGCACCCCATGGGAGACCAGGAGGAAGCACCTGGCTTCTGGCTTTGGATTGGCGCTGTACGCTTGCCGTGTTGCCCATTTTGGGGGTGAACCAACGGAAGGAAGACCTTTCTCTCTCTCTCTCTCTCTCTCACTAACTCTGCCTATCAAAAAAAAAAAAAAAAAAAAAAGCTGCCGAAAGACCTTTGCAATGGACTCAAATAAGCATAATAGTTGAAGCATTTACATAAACTTGAAGTGATTCTTCTTGTATGTGTAGTTATTAAACCTTTTATTTCTGTCATATAAATCCCTGTGTCACATAAGATCAGAAGAAATACAGCAAAAGAGGAAGAGGGAAAGTCATTAGAAGCAGATACAATGACCATAATTAGTTTCTCCCTGAAAGAAGAAGCAACAGAATCAAAAAGATGTTCAAAAAAAAAGTTGACAAAAATAATTAGCCATTTCAGCACTATTAATAATTATAATATTGCATTGAGAAATATTTAAGTTACATTCTATATTACTACTTAAGATGGAATCACAAAATACACTTTCAAAAAATTTCATGGAGAATTGTGTTTTTATATTGTGATCGCCAAATGGTTAAACTGGAAGGGAAATATCTGGAGGGCCTTAGTCACTACCAAAAAATGAAAGTTTTGGCGGATAAGTTCTCATGGGAGTTTGAAGAGATTTCAAAAAAGTTCATGGAAAAAATCGAACTAAAAGTCAAACTTATTTTGGTCCAAATACTTTTGACTTAACACGCATATGGGAAGTCATCAAAATTTTGTGGTAAATGCGTTCTGTGGAAAAAAATGCATTAATTTTAAACTTTCTGCATCAAAATAAACTTTCTCTTTCTCCTAATTCCATTTGCCACAACACTTTTGAAGTACTCTCACATATTAGCATAGGATTACAAGTGAGTTACATATGACATCCATCAAACATTGTCAAGATCAGTAAAACAATGATATTTCAATTTTAGAAAACGTGGGCAGCAGCACACTTACAGCACGGTGGAAACCCTGAAGATTTGGAGTAAGGACAGGATAGCGAACTCCTGGATACTGCTGAATGCCTTTCATCACTTCAGTGTGATCAGCCATCTTAAACACATAATAGTTGCATATGAATCTAGCTTTGACTATTCTACCAAGCATATTTTTAGCTTTTCACAGATGTTTTAGTCATACATGTAGTTACATTCCACACATTTATGTTTCAAATAGCTAAACGAAGCCAATGTAGCTAAAAGAAAAGTAGCTTTCAGTGCCATAGATACATAATAACTACCATGACTTTAAATCACCTAACAGGATCTGGCTAAAGGTGTGATTACAGACAGTCTGGGATTCTGAAGCCTTCTATTGCCACTTGACCAACCCTTATTCTCTTTTCATTTCACAGTTTAAGCCTCAAGTAATCCTGATATATGGGAGAGTCTTAAAGATAACATGCTAAATTTTACCTCCCACATGAAAATTTGATGTCAATTATTTTCAGTGTATGAAATTTAATATTATGTAGTAAAATATAAATTGCATTCTCTGTTAGGAATCTTTTACAAAGCTGAGATACTAATATGTTATTTGGTTAACACTAATGTTTTAGTTAATATTATTTATAATGCTTTATATGAACTATTACAGGATTATCAATGGCTATAATGTGAACAAAGGAACACAGTAGACACAGTACTCAGCAGTAAACAAACCCACCCCATTAAGACTTTAATTGCTGAATCTATAAAAACAACCTCAACTTTGAGTTAAAATATAAAATTGTTTGTAACAAAATTTATAAATGAGACAAAGTAATAACTAATAATCAGATCACATAAGGATCACATTGAGAAATTACCATTGACATAAACGTAAGCCTTTCCTATTTAGGAATAATAAATCATGAAGTGAGCAATAAACATATAAATAATATATAGTACAGGCCAGCTCCGCGGCTCAACAGGCTGATCCTCCACCTGCAGCGCCGGCACATGGGGTTCTTGTCCCAGTTGGGGTGCCGGATTCTGACCCGGTTGCCCCTCTTCCAGGCCAGCTCTCTGCTATGGCCAGGGCGTGCAGTGGAGGATGGCCCAAGTGCTTGGGCCCTGCACCCACATGGCAGACCAGGAGAAGCACCTGGCTCCTGGCTTCGGATCAGTGCAATGCGCCGGTCGCAGGCGGCCATTGGAGGGTGAACCAACGGCAAAGGAAGACCTTTCTCTCTGTCTCTCTCTCTCTCACTGTCCACTCTGCCTGTCAAAAATAATAATAATAATAATATATAGTACAGAAAAAGAGCAGGGGAAAGCTGTGAAAAAATACATCAAATCAAATTGGTATCCTCATTATGGTCATGGAAGATGGAGGGCTATTGGTTTTTCACTATACATCTTGGCATGTTATAATAAATGTGTAATATTTTTAGTTTTAAGAAAAATGCTTAGAAACTAGTCAAAGCGTAAATGCTTTTTGCATGCTTTTGAAAATCTGTAAAATATTATAACATTTACTATTATTGGTCCATTTATATTATCAACTTTTAGTTAAATGTCATACGAATTAAATTTAATAGTTTTAGTGAATATAATTTGAATTAACAAGTTTTTAAATTAATTTAAAATTAAATATTTAGCATGCAAAAAGGGACCTTGTAGTGGCTGTCATTTATATTAACATTTAAGACCACATGTTTCATTCACTCCAAATTTGCTTATTTATAACATGGGATTCTTACTTCCACTATTCCTATCTCACTGCTGACTCTTTAATGGTACACAGTCTATCATATTAATTTGCAGTGTATACAAGCCAGGTCTCTCATTCTAAACTCATTTGACTTTAATCCAGATGTTTATGGACCACCAACCACATATGCCCAAAGCACTATACTGGATCCTATATGAAATCCAAATAGAGACCTCGTTTTCTGGGGAGAAAGCAAGATCCCTGCACTGAAGTAATCTGCAGTATAGCTGCAGAGATAAAACAAATAATATGGAAAGTTAGCAATCCAAAGTAGTCTATCAATAGTAAGTAAGAGCACAGATCATAGATTCAGAAGGGGAAAAGTTGGTATAGCCTATAATTAGTTTAGTGATATTTAAAAGAAAATATGGAATTTGAACTGTAGTCTCTAATCAAAAACAGAATTGTAAAAAGCAAAATACCATGTAGAGCAAATGCCAGATTTTAATCTACAAGAAATACAGGCCATCTGAGCCAGTCATGAGTTTTATCATACAATCCATAATTTAACAAAGCTCTTCAATCAATATGAAGACCATATATCATGAAATAATACTTGTTTAAGTTTACTGATTTATTTGAAAGGCAGTGACAGAAAAACAGGGATACAGAGAAACAGACAGACATTGATCTTCCATCGCCTGGCTTATTCCTCATCCAAATGCTCACAGCAGCAGGGGCTCCCCCAGGCCAAAGGCAGGAACCTAAAACTCCACCCAGGTTTCCACATGTGAGTGCCAGGATGCCAAGTACCTAAACCATCCTCTGTTGATTCCCAGGGTGCACAAAAGCAGGGAACTGTATCAGAAGTGCAGGTGTGGCTGGATCCAAGGCACTCTGATATAGGGTGCAAGTGTTCCAAAGGACAGCTTAACCCATTATGCCACAATGCCCTTTCCAGCAATAATCTTTCAAACTAGTTATTTCAATAACAGAATTAGAAAACTAAGGTAATACTGATCTAATTTCCAGGTCATGGAAGCTCAACTTTGATAATTATTGAATATATCTTAATGAAATGTTGGCAAATAAATTAACTAGAATTTTAAAAATCAATATTTTTTCATTTTTAAAAGCAATCAATCATAATGAGATCATTTAGAAAGTCATAGTATTGCTTCAATTTAATTTAATTTAATTTAATCTAATTCAGCTATTAGTTAGTTCTTGAAAGAGAGAGTTACAGAAAGAGAGAGAGAAAATCTTCCATCTGCTGGTTCACTCCCCATATGGCCACAATGGCCAGAGCTGAACCAAGCCAAAGCCAGGGGCCAAGAGCTTCCTCAGGGTTTCCTACATGGGTGGCAGGGGCCCAAGCATCCGGGCCATCCTTCACTGCCTACGCAGGCCATAAGTAGGGAGCTAGATTGGAAGTGGGTCATCCAAGACAAGAACCATCTTCTACATGGGATGCCAGCATCGCAGTCCATGGCTTAACCTGCTTTACCACAACACCGGCCCCTATAGTATTGTTTTAACTTGTTCAGTAAAGGCAAGTAAGAGCTTTAGGATATCCTGATAGGATATAATTTTATTACAATGAATAAAAAAGAGCAGGTTTCAATTAAGGGAATAAAATTCCTGCTTTAATTTTTTCTGTTGCAGAGTTTATGTATACTTCAATTCTGATGTTATTCTAATATTTAAAGTTTAACTATTATTCAAACAACAGACCTAACTATTCCTGTACATTACTCTTTTGACATTTTTAAGAAAATCTTTCGACATCTGGTTTGATTTAACATTTTTTATGATTTTGCTGTGCCTTTCTATTTAACATCATAAAAATTTTGCATCATTTTGTTGGTACCATGCTTTGCCATTAGTAAGACACGCTGTCAGAATGGTGATACCTGTGTCCATCTAGCTAATGAAATAGACCTACAATAGTCAATCAGGTTTTTTTTTTTTTTTTGCATCAACTTTTTATAGATGTCCAAATAATCACTATTATTTATACAACACGTTGGGAAAGTTTTAAAGAAATGCAAAGGATCACATCACAAAGTTTAGGTCATATGAAGCTTAAAATTTGGAGACTTCATTTACTATTATCATGATGTTATTAAATTTAGACATCCTATTGATATTTGGTTAGTAACTTAATACTGTGACCTTTCCAAAACAGTTAGGATTTTGATATATTCTCTGGACAATGGCAATGACTAATGTACAGCTAGAGCCATTCACACAAATCATGAGATGAGTGCAATTTCAAGATAATGCATATGATCATGCAGTAATAATGACAAAAATTGTCCATAAACTTCAGAACAGAATAATATTGGGAGTTTCTAAGATTTTGGTTAATAAACTGTTAATGTTAAATTTCAGGGGTCATAAAAATTAACAAATTTTTTAAAAATATTTATTTATTTATTTATTTGAAAGTCAGAGTTACACAGAGACAGGAGAGGAGAGGCAGAGAGAGAGAGAGAGAGAGGTCTTCTATCCGCTGGTTCATTCCCCAACTGGCTGCAACAGCCAGAGCTGTGCCGATCCTAAGACAGGAGCCAGAAGCTTCTTCTGGGTCTCCCACACGGACTTGGGCCATCTTCTACTGCTTTCCATGACATAGCAGAGAGCTAAATTCGAAGTGGAGCAGCCAGGTCTCGAACCAGAGACTATATGGGATTCCGGCACTTCAGACCAAGGCATTAACCCACCATGCCACGGCGCTAGCTCCCAAAATTTAAAATATTACAGGATTTTAAGTCTAATCTTTAAAACTCACTTCAAAATTTGAATATTCACTCATTTCATTGTTTATACATCTGTTATATAGCCAACATTATGGAAACAAAACAAAAACAGATCCAGGCGGAGCCAAGATGGCGGAATAGTGAGGGCGTGCACCGATAGTCTGGGAAAATTTAGTTTAATAAAAGCGGAGTTACGGTAGCCTCAGAAAAAGGATCAGCAAAAAATTGCAGAGGAAACTCTTCCGGAGCTATTTTCTGTGACTCAAAGGACCTACTGGGAGAGCAGGGTCGCCCACCACATGGAAGCCGAACCGCGGGAGCCGCAGAGTCTGAGCGCCAGTGCGGGAAGGGGAGTCTATGTGACAAAGAAACCAGCGGGGAGAGGAGAGACGCCCAGGGCTCCGAGTCCACACATCGGTGCTGGAAGCGGAGGTGAGCTTAGCAACCGGAGACATTGGCTGGGAAACGGCGGACAGAATTTTAGAAGGACGCGGGTTTTGAAGCGGGAAAGTCCAACAGACTACAGGAGAGAAGGAAAAATAAATAAATAAATAAATAAATAGGTGGGGGCATACTGGTACAGACAGACTCCACTCTCCACCAACCTTGCAAAGGCCAGCAAGAGACAAAGAGCTGGGATATACATAATAAAAGGGG